GCACACTCGACGACGACACAGCACAGCAGAAGCCCGCCTCTCGATCCAAGCGCCGTGACTCTTATGTCAATGCATGCAGGCAACAACATGGCCAGCCCACGCCCGCCGATCGTCGAACCACTCACATTCCGTTCTCTCATCTCGAGAAAACAGGGGGTACCGCCGATACAGCATTCCTCGCTTCGCCTGCTGCATGATGCTTTATTCGGACTCGTACAGCCATGCACGCCGAAGAAACGCCCCTGAGAGGAAGGCTTCTTCCCGCCCGAAATGTCTTCTCGATGTTGCAATGCCGGCTTGTCTTTACGGCGAATCTGACCGCGCGTCTACGCGTCACGGTTTGCCGCTTGAGGGCTTCTCCCGGGAAACTGGCGGGCTGCGTACGCCGCGCTACAACTTCGACACCGACGTTTTACTCCTGCCAGTGCTATTATTCATTCATATCTCTGTGCCGGACTGCTTGCGGAAAAATATATATTTCAACTTTCATTTTCATCTTTGACGATGATTGAAACGCCTCCATTCTTGGCGGGGTTATTTGGACGCCGGCTGTGCGTGATATATCGCAGACGCAGACGTCCGCCTGTGCCCTCTCCGCTCATCACGGTCGATGCTGTTTCCATCTTTGCTATCACGTTGCTCGCGATATGCGTACTGTGCCCAACGCTGCGTCGCCATACAACCTGTGGTCGGACGCCACCACGCCGCGCACACTCCGTTTCATCAACGTCTACTCTGAATGCCGGTGTTGTCATTGCTGTTTGGACCACTGTAGTGGTCCTACATACAATCGGAATATCTTGCAGGCGATGAGTGCGCCGGCGCCTGTTGACCGCGGCTCCGAGGATAGCGGTACAGGCTCTCGAAGTGCCGGGTTGAACACGGCAAGAACGCGATGTTCTCGAGCTCTCGGCAGCGGCTTCGCAAGCACTCAGCAGCCGCTGCGCACAGAGCTGTAGAAGTCATACGAGTACGCGCAGTACACGGCCAAGACACCCACAACACTCCTGCCCATCGACATGTTTCGGGCGAGGAAAATTCTATCTCTACGCCGCTCGCGCATTGGAGCCAGCGCGCCCTACCACATGCCCACTTGGATTCCTGAAACATCATCTCGACGTTGGGCGTCCGCCTTTCACCGATGCAGACCGCCGCAGGTCCCGCAGCTTATTATCTAACTGCTTCTAGACGTCTCATTACCCGTCTCGTATGTCTCGTAGTGCCCGTACGTGACCGTGTTCACTACCTTTGCCGCCGCCTTGCGCATATGTTTTGTCGCCGCGCATATGCCGCACGAGACCGTTCTGGCGACTCTCCGTCGTTCCCGGAGGTCGAGTACGTGTCGTGGTGCTGGAGAGGAGCTCCTCGGACGTCGGGAGTGGACGCGTATCTGCGGTCACTAGTACGCCAGTTCGTACCTGTATACCTCCCGAGCCCGCCATGCTATCTTATTTACGACCTCTCAGTTGCCGCGTATCAGACGGGACTATGGAGCAGAGCTCCTCGGATCTCGAAGCGTATGCGGTTCATCAGCTCGTACCCGCACGCCTCCCGCGCACGTCTATGCTTTCTCTTCCGCGGCTGTTTCCCCGCCTCCGAGTATCAGACGGACCTACGGAGCCCGCTACGCGCTGCAGTGCATGCCGAGCCACAAGCCGTACTCGTTTCTCCCATCGGAGCCTTGAGGCGCAGCACGTCCAAAAATGCCATCCAGTTAGACTTACCGACTTCGCCGATCTTTGAGCTTATATTTCATCCTGATTCCTCGTCCGCCTGGGGCTATGCTCTGGGAAACCCGCGTTGGTAACACGCATACCATATTGGTCTACGCGTGCTGAGTTCTTCCCACGTTTCCGACTTATCTTTCGGACTATCGGACGACGGCGACTGAGCATGCAGTCTCGAGCCTTGCTTGGAACAACCCTGCGCAGACCCTGCGCCGCACCGACTATACGGCGAGAGCACATCACGAGTACTCACCATTGTGGTATCTCACGGCCTAGGCATTCCTGCGGTCGGCGCTCAGTCACGGGAGAGTGCGTGATCGACTCAAGACTTCCCAGTGCCAAGTTCCGCGTAGATTTCGACGAAGGCTGCAACAACCCTGTGCCATTCTTCCATTGTAAAGATGTTATCCAATCTCGCTTCACTGAATGGCAACCAGATTGAACTCAATACGAACAAACGCCGGCGTTGCCTGAGATAACAACGTGTTCGAACAAGTTCAAACCTACGAACCACACCGACCTCGCCGGTCCCTCGATTACAATGGACGTCGGGCGACTCATGCAGCTCCAAGCCATGAATCATCGTTGTCGTCTGCACGCTCTGCGTCGCCTCCGGGCGCAATGCGCACCCCCTGTGGATCATGATTGTGGCAACAAGCGTTGACCGGGGCGGGTCTACAGAACACGCGCCGTGCGGCATGGGAACGACGTCCATTAGCGGCGCACCCGGCGCTCCGCGCGCGTTCTCTACAACTCTACAAACAACACAAGACCGATACTTCTCGTTGCTTCCTCGAGATGCCATCTGTTTCAGATCCGCGCTGGGCGAGTAGGGTTGGGGGGCCTTAGATATGATTTGTGTGATAGGAACGGACGAGGGACGGCGTGGCGTGCCCCCTTTGACAGCGAGGGCTCTCCATTTTGTGTGTGGGAGTTTGTTGAACATATAGTACGATGACAAGGGTTGGCTAAGTGTGTAAGGTAGGGGCGGCGCTGTTGGGTGTCATGTAAACGTAAGGGGATTACTTATCCCTCTGCAAAGAACGTGATCATCTCGACACCGAGAGGACGTTATAGCCGCCTGAGTATAAGTGCGTCCCTGCTCGACATGGTCGCGCTGTAGCCTATACGGATGGCACGCACACAACACACAACATACCACAGGCTTGCCCATCCGTCGCCGATGCTGATGTGTACGTAGGCATCGTCCGGTGGAGTGAAATGAGATACTCCGGTCAACGATGATTGTTATGCGGTCAACGGACACGCACCTATTCACGAGCTGGTCATAAGCGCGAGGCGTCGGCGAGTGCATGATCACAGCCATGGCTATTCCAAGATGGATTGTCTCTCGCAAGTCTTCGAACGTGACCACCAGAGGGTGCAGTCGGGGCCAATAGTGCAAAGGTCAAAGCCCCACAACAGTACCCCGATTTGTAGACGGTGAATTAACCGGCCTCATAGCTTTTCCAGGTGTTCATATCGACATGAATAGTCATAGAGACATCACGAGACGGTGTTAATACCGGCGAGATAGAATAGTCTCGAGGCATTGCGGCAGCTGCGAATGAAGAAGGAAGCACCAAACTCCGTATCTTTCCCGGCGTAGCACGCCATCTGGGAGACCTGCAAGTGGATGTGGATACAACGCAAGGGCTTCGAAGGATCTCAGAAGACTCTACATAGCTCAGGCTAGGACGACGTCAGGTGCACGGTCATAACTGCGCCACGATCTGCTTGAAGGCTGGGGATACGGTCGAAAGCACATCGACCGACTCGGCCTGTCAGATAGAATGCAGACATTAGCAATGTCAGCCGCATATCTAAGGTAGCGCCACGCACCCATACTCTCTTCTGAACCTCCTGCCCGACCTCGGAAATGACAAAGTCACTCGGCTCGTCCACCTTACAGATGTTCACATACGCGCCTCGCAGCTCGTCCTCGCGACCTTCGTTGCCGACTGCAGACCAGACCAGCATACGAGAACCCTCCTCTGTGCTACGTCCGACCGCCATCTCCATGAAACGAGCCACGCGCTGACGGCCAGTTGGAAGATTGCGACGCAATGCAGATACGCAGTAGCCGGGGTTAACGACTACTGCTATGATGGGAGTATGCTCCAGACGCTTTGCGAGCTCGCGGACGAGAAGGAGGGTGAGAACTGGCGGCATGATTAGCGAGGGCATGTAGGTGTGACATGGACATAGGAAATGCCTCGTACGTTTAGACTGATTATAGCGCGGCTGTTGCGCGGATGCCACTAGCCAGTTCTCGGGCTTGTTGAGCTCATGAAGAACTTTGCCGCTCGGCCCATGAATAACCTTCTCGGGCATCACGGCAAAGTAGTGCACATCACTCCCGACTATAACCAGCCGTGGTTTGGAGCCAGGGCGCGCAGTTGCGGCCCGTTGGGCAGCAGGTATGAGGAGTACTGGGAGTAGCAGCGCCGACAAAACGTTGACGTGCAATCTAACAGGTGTGTCGTGTCAGGGTGTGGACTGATGAGTAGATGAATGCGGGTCAAGATACGTCTGCTCCCAACCATCTGCCGTCGTCTGGTGCTCCTTCATGAGAACGGCTGCATTGTAGACTACGATATCGATCGCGAGACCATCATTGTCGACGCTGGCCGCTAGATCCTGCACAGACTTGAAGCTGGAAAGGTCAACGATGCGTAGTTCTGCGCCCTGATAGCCGGTCTCCGCCTCAAGCTCTACGAGGTAATCAGACCTCAGAGTGCGATGACGCTCGAGAGAACACGAAGACTCACCTGAGATGGCAGCCTCTCCTTTCTCCTCATTACGACAGGCAAGGATGAGACGCGCGGGATTCATCCTCGCAAAGTGCTTTGTCGCCTCGAAGCCCAGTCCGATATTAGCACCGATGACCATGACGACTTTGCCAGTGAGGTCCGCCTGCGGAACAGGTGGAATCTTTTGCCGTTGATCACATAGAAAGGCAGGTATGGTCTTCTTCATGGCGCGTGGGTCACTGTCTGACGAGGAGTCGAGAAGAGCAAGCAATGGCGGTGGCGACAGCCTTAAGACCTTCACCCATATTTCGTGCCTCACTGTATTTATGGCAGCCAAGACATACAGATGAAAGGAACTCAGGAAGCATCACGGAGCCGATGTGGATGGCACGATCACCAGCAGTCCGCCGCACTGGCTAAGTATGGCGCTGGCTTGGGGAGACAAGATGAATCACATTCAGTCGTTGCCCTTGCCGTGAGTGAGGGCCACGCGTCCTCCCGGCCGCGCGACGCATTCGGTTCGCCACTACGACCACAGTGAGCAAGCAGGTGCGTTGACGATAGTAGATTCAGAGTAGGGTAGACGTGCTTGCACGTGTCTTGTCTACCATCAGTCGCTTTGGTCTCTGGAAGTGGTGATGGTAGAAGACAAGTTGCAGGATCAAGCCACGAAGACGCGGCCGGTTCGGATGATGTATTCCGTTCATCTCCGCAGCGAGTCCGTCAGGCGAGTGAGTCCCCAGTCAAAGATGTACAGTAGAGCGAGCAGAACCCGTCGACGCTGGTCAGACAGCGTAGAAGTGAGGCGGCGTGTCTGTGACACATGGGCCCAGCGTCACCACTTCAGGGTGGCCTCGGAGATCTCTGCATCGCCCGAGGCTTGCCCGAGTCGTGCCTGGTGCGCGGCGTCGAGCTCCCCTATCGCGAAATAACTATCCAATAACCATCCAATAACCTTAATGTTCTTCGCGTACTCATAGGATGCGGCTATAATGTGAACACGGGGCTGGGACTGCATGAGCTCATACACCCGGACCTTACATCTCAATCTAATGTGAGGCAGATCCATGCCTTACCGGCGCTGCACAATGTCTGGGTGTATTTGATACCCATATGCAGATAGGCAGATACATCACATGCAGTAGCAATGTAAGACGAGTATAAGGGTCTTAGACTACATCAGACTCAGCAAACCCCCGGGACTCGATGCCATTAAGCTGAGATCTGCGAGAGCACTTGTTTGAAAGCGGGTGATACGGCAGAGAGTACGTCGACCGACTCGGCCTATGAAAAAGCACACCATATCAGCAAGCTGAAGGTGTAAATCAACTCATGCCACGTACCCATACTCGCTTCTGAACCTCCTGCCCGACCTTGGAGATCACGAAGTCGCTCGGCTCCTCAATTCTGCACAGGTTGATATATGCCCCTCTAAGCTCGTCCTCGTGCCCCTCATTCCCAACTGCCGTCCATACCAGCATACGCGAGCCCTCCTCGGTACTGCGTCCGATGGCAATCTCCATGAGACGGGCTCCGCGTTGGGCGCCGGATGGAAGGTTGCGCCGCAAGGCGGAGACACAGTAGCCAGGGTTGACTACCACCGCTATGAGTGGGGTGCGCTCCAGGTGCTTTGAGAGCTCGCGAATCAGAAGGAGGATCAGAACTGTTAGGATAGAGTTGAATAAGCATCTGCTAGATACGACGCAAAGGTAGGTGACAGAGCTCACGTTTAGACTGGTTGTAACGGGGCTGTTGAGTCGACGCCTTTAGCCAGTTCTCGGGTTTGTTAAGCTCCGTCAGAACTTTCCCGCTCGGACCATGGACGACCTTTTCTGGCATCTCAGCCCAGTAGTGCACGTCACTTCCGACTATGACCAAGCGCGGCTTCGACCCGGGATGTGCTGTCGCCGCGCGTTGTGCAGCGGGTATAAGCAGCACCGGGAGCAGCAGCGCCGACAAAACGTTGACATGCAGTCTAGTCTCATATGAGTGCCGTGTTCATCATACCAAGTGAGGGCGACGTACGTCTGCTCCCAGCCGTCAGCGGTCGCCTGATGCTCCTTCATGAGAACGGCGGCATTATAGACCATGATGTCAATCGCGAGGGCGTCGTGCTCGACACTGTCCGCGAAAGCTTGCACGGACTTGAAGTTGGAAAGGTCGACAATCCGCAGTTCGGAGCCCTTATAGCCAGTCTCCTCTTCGAGCTCTGTACGTGTGTAGCGGTCAGAGCACGTATAGACGCAAAGAGCTTGACACGCACCTTTGATAGCAAGTTTTCCCTTCTCCTCGCTGCGGCAGGCAAGGATGAGACGCGCAGGCTTCATCCTTGCGAAATGCTTCGTGGCTTCGAAACCTAGGCCGATGTTGGCGCCAATGACCATGACGACCCTGCCGCTAAGGTTCGCTTTCACGACAGGGGGGACCTTCTGGCGTTGGTCGCAGATTAACGCGTGCATAGGTTTCTTCATCGTGTCGACGGTGGTGAATAGCTTAACGAGTTGAGGAGCGGTCGATCAAGGTTCGGCAATGGCGGGTGGTAGCGGCGACAGCCTTTGTAGCATCTTGCTTGTTTTGTACCTACAGATGTACTCATCAACAAGTAATGTTGCACTACGAGGATTTGAGAGAATCGCGGCGCGGATGTGGATAGCAGTTGTTCGCGATACGCACAGTCTGGCATGCGAATAGCCGCGCACAACTTCGAATGCCCCTGCCGTGCCGACGCGTCCTCTCGGCGTTAACGAGCCGCTCAGCCTACCAGGACAAGAGCATGAATCAAGGCGACACATCACACAGTCTTATGGGCATATAGGTGTTCCGTGATTACGATTAACGGGAAATCCGTCGTGATGCTATAGTAGTGGTGGTGGTTACAAAGGAAGCCAGCTGAGCGTCAAGCGCTAAGCAGTCGGCGCGGCCCGAGGCCGAGACGTCGATGACGGCTCTTCGGCGTTTACCGAGCTACACAAGCTCTCAGTATACGATTTTGGTCACTCGAGTCGGTAGCACTGTCTTAGTCACTAGTAATGGTCTCCTTCCGTAATCCAATTCATATCCGCAAGGCAGTAAGGGTAGAATGTAAAGTAAGATCCAGTGATCCGGTGAAAGTGAAAATATAAGTTATCGTGTCATCAATCCTTGTTCCGCTTCATGTAGATGGCCATGCCCTGAATGTAGTTGGGCGTGATGGTGGCACCTGCGCTCGTAACGGGCTCGGTCATGTTCGCAACGCCGACGAGCGTAGACTGGCCAGGGCCGTCGAGACGAAGGACAGCAATGCCTACGCCAGTAGCGAGGTTCGCGTAGAGGTAGTCGGTGTTGTCGATTGTGGCGGCGGCAATATCAATGTTCTCGCCGCCCTCGACCAAGGTGTGGTTCGCAACGACGGTCGGCACGAGGGTGTCGGGGTCGATGGAGACCTCGGTGACAAGGCAGGTGGACGGGTCGGAGAGGAAGTAGCGGTCGACCGTAGGAGCCCAAGTGCTCCAGCACGTAGTGATCTCGCCATCTACATACGCGGCGTTGGTCTTCGACTTCGTGCTGTTGATGCTCTCAATACCCTCATTGAAGTCCCAAACGCTGAGAACAAGGCATCAATGTCTGCGCTTGAGTAGCAAAGGGACCGTGTGGTGCTTACTTGATACCACTGGAGAAGTCCGCACTGAAGAACGCGTTCTTCTCGGGGATAGGAGTGAGGGAGAAGGTGAATCCACCGGGAGCGGGAGTACCAGCGATGGTCGGTTCCTTCGCGAGCTCGCCGTTGTCACTGAGAGGGTAGACGAAGAGTGCTCCGCGCGTAGGTGCCGGGGTGATGAAGCCCTTGAGCGCAACGACGACGTTCTTGTCATCCTCAGTGAATTGCACCTGGGAGAAGGTGTTGATCGGGCCCTGCGGCGGGTTGGTCTGATTGTAGCCGTAGATGGTGAGATCGCGGAGGGTCTCCTGCTGCGTGGAAAGGCCGGATGCGGAGACACCGTAGCAACTAGACAATGTAAGCACTGGATTGCGCACTAGAAAGAAAGCATGACGTACAGAAGGGACGCCTTGGTACCAGAGTTCATGACGCAGAGGCGGTCACCGGCATGGCTGAAAGCGAGTCAGTAGAAGAACCAGCCTAAGAGCGGCGCGCACTCACTTGAACGCCACCGACGTCGGGAAATCACCCTGGGAGGAAACAGGCTCTCCGGCCATCTCGAGCTTTGTGGGGTCGTTGGGGTCAATCTTGAATAGAGCGACGGTAGCGGATTCGGTGTTCGTGGTGGCTAGGAAGTTGTTTGACTCAGAAACGACGATGATGCCGTTGCTGTACGTCGCATCCGATGCGAATTGACCACCGTCGTCGCCGTGAACGCCCTTGCCACCCGCTGAAACGAGGCCAGCGAAGGTGACGTTGCCGTCCTTGCCGATGTTCGCGAGGACAATATTGTTCTCGGTAGGGTCGTTCGTGATGACTGTGTCATCGGTCAGTATCAGATATTTAGATCAGGATGAATAGACGCACAATAGGCTGTGCCAACAACGTCAGGGTTCGTTCCATCCGTCAAGTCCGAACTGCTCGAGGCCAAAGAGGTCGACGATGACGCTGCGCCTGAGGACGTCTTCGTCTTCGTGGAGGATGCCGACTTGCCACCGGAGGCCTTGGAGGTGGAGGCCGGTGCACTAGCAGTAGCGCGCGTGGATGCGCCGCGAGTCTCGCTGGAGACTGTGGTCGAAGCGGTCTTGGAAGCCCCATGGGTAGCGGCGGCGTGCGAGGAAGTCGCGCTCACGGGAGCGCCCGTGCAGCTCATGCCCCGATCGCTACCATCGCGCGAGCCGTCGCGTCCGCTTTCGCCGTTCCAGCGTCCATCATCACCGTCATCACCACCCCAACGCGCAACATTAGACGAAGGCGCCGCCGCAACAAGGCACGCTGCCGAAAGAGCAATGAATGCAGAAGAGAACTTCATGACACAAAATAGAGAAGAAGAAAAGAAAGGGTAAAAAAGAGGAAGGAGGGTGAAAGAAAAGAACCCGAAACAACGATCGCCCAAACAGACGAAGGGGAAAGGAATGAAAGTACGGTGACGCCGTCTCTGGAATATATATGCAGCCACAAGTCTGATTGCACATCGCTCGTCCCGTTGATGTTGTTGATGGCGGATGTGTTCAAACCGATCAGCCGGGACACGTCCTGCTGCGCCCGCTCGCGCATGCTGTGCTGCTAGCATGATCGCTTTGAGCAGACGATGAACGAGGCCAGTGCTCATGACTTCGAAGCGGCCTCTCCATGCGTATATATTCGGCTGGGACTTGAGCTACAAGGGCGATCCTCTGAGGACGCCAGGTTGGCAGGTCCCCCAGCTACAAGTGTAGCTATTCCATGTGGGAGAATAGCGCGTTCGGGTCTACAGGGCCGTTTTTCATGCAAAACGATTTGAGGGACATCGCGACTGCATCACTGGCATCAGTCCCGCCAGATGCGATAGCTCCATAGCCGCCTGCCGCGCCCACTTCTAGAGCCCGATGAGCGACGCCCCGTACTAGCTCGAAGCCGGCTTCAAGAGCAGAGGGGCCCATCACACTGGTAGCACGTTACAGACGATTCTGAGGCTGAAAGTACGGTGATCATTTGGCAGGGGTCCATGAATCCACGACCAGTGACGCCGTACTCCGGAGATTTGCGAGATGTGCTGTGCAGTGCCTGTCAGGGTCGTGGCTTGCCCAGAGTCGTCAAAGACATGTGCCCGTCGAATCTGTATAGCAAGGGTCGCACAGCAACATACAAGGCATGATGCTAGGGCGCGGAAGCAGCCACCTTCGTCGTGGGGGAAAGCAAGATCGCGCGCAGACTTGGCGCAGACGTTAGCCAATGCTTTCCTTTCGACCACCATCATCATGTTCGCCGCCGCGTCAACTTCACCGCTGGTCTCCCTGTTCTCTTCATCATCTTCAGAACCCCTGGCACTGTTTAGTGTGAATACAGATCCAAATCTACCTTCAGATTCGTTCGCGCATCTACTGGACGATGCTACATCTCAACCGGCGCCACCCGAATCTGTATCTCTGATCTCGCCGCATCCTCTAGACTCGGAACGAGGCAAGGGCCGTGAGCTCACACAGACCGTGCTGCACCTGCAGTCTCCCACTCTACGGACGACGTATATTCGCTGTCCGCCGGAACGGGAAGATGTGGCCGATCTTGGGCTGGGGCTTCCCCAGCTCCATCTTCAAGTCAGGAACTTGGGTCGCGAGTGGTCTTTCGAGGTTGGAGTGGTGGATGTGATGGGAAGGAGAGGAACGATCCGTTGCTCGACGTTTCAGGTAGGTATAGGTGCTCCTACCGGCATGTCTTGTGATAGTATACGAGTCAAAAATGATGCAATAATGTTTTACTTTCGAGTACCCTACCGCGGTGTCAGCGTCGGCGTATCAAAACCTGGTTCTTCGAATGCATAGGTAGTAAAACTGATCTGGGACCACAGAAACGTCCTTGTCTCAAGCACGGCGCGTCCCGATATCCGCTCTTGCACCTGCCGCTGTCCTTCCCGAAGGCATCGAGCACACCTCTGACGACATGGACGACAGTCTCCATACATCTTCCGTCTCTGATGGCCCACTTCTCGTCGCCGGCGTTCGAGGAAACAGAAGAGGGTTATAGCGATGGACGGCTGGCTCTTCCGCGAGGTCGCTACTCGCACTCGTCCTACATTAAGGTGTACGCTACATGCCGGCTCCGTCGCATCTGGTTCAGTCAGGGTGCAGGTAGCGCAGCCGCTGAGAAACCTTGGGAGCTTCAACTTTACTCAGAAGATTGAGCGGAGTATCTTGCGATATTGCACTTCTCACTTTCATCTCTCTGTGCGTAGAACAATGATCCTCCATAACCGTGACCCAAGTACATCAATGCCATTGTTATTGTGCGAGCAGTCAAGTCAAGTCTACATGGTAGCAGTCACCAGTACCAGTACACGTTTCTAGAGGGTACGTGTCATTTCGAGCGTGATTAGCCCACGACGTCGAGCTTGTTGATCAGCAGGTCTTTCTCGAGGATCTTATCCTTCCACTCGCGTTCAACCTGTCCGAGGTCCCAGGTTGCCTCGACGAAGCGACCACTGAGCCAGTCAGCCTTGCCCGAGGCGAGATAAAGCTGTAAAGCGCAACGCGTCAATGCCACGTATAATGCCACGCCGCAAAGGAAATCCGCACCATCGTCACCGCAGGGAGCTCTACCGTGTCGGGGAACGGCATGCCTTGTCCGGCTAAGCCAGAGTCGTGTCCCATGTCGGTCAAGATGGAGCCAGGATGAAGCGCGAATGCTTTGACCGTCGGGTTCTCTGCGAACAAGATCTATCAGCTGTATCGGACCCTAGCACAGGCGAACTCACCCTGGGCGATGAACTCGATCAACCTATTCACGGTGTGCTTGGAGGTCTGTAAATGTATGAGCATGCCGCCAACGTCAAGCATCGATGAGCGGCATACCTCATAGTCGCTGCCTCCGGGCCAGCGAAGCTGTGCAGCGAGAGAGCTGATCGCGATGAAGGTACCATTCGTCTTGCGCAGGTGTTTCGCCGCCGGACGGAAAGCGTTGTACACGCCGAAGACGTTGATCTCGAAGGTGTTCCACCAACCTGCAGCCGGCTTCTCGTCCATGGCTACATGGCTTGTTAGACGCAGCATTTGCGCAAGGGATCTAGGACGCTCACTCTTCTCAAAGCTCGTCAGGGCGCCAGCGTTAGCGACGACGACGTCCAGACGGCCGAATGCAGCGGCAGCAGCCTCGACGGCGGCCTCGACCTGAGCTGTGTTCTTGACGTCCACGATATACTTCTCGACCTTGGCGTCCGGGGCTTCCTTTAGCACATCGGCCTTGGTCTCTTCCAGCGCGCTGTCGGTCCGCGCAGCGATGGCGATGGCGGCGCCAGCCTTTGCGAAGGTGATAGCCGTCACGCGTCCGATACCGCGACTCGCGCCGGTGATGAAGACGGCCTTGTTCTTGAAGGACTTGGTCTCCCAAGCTGAGGTAGGGTCGATGGTGGGATAGATGCTAAAGAGCAACGAGTGAGTGTTGAAGCGTGCAAGGTCGATGGCGGAGAAGTGCTCACTCGTGGCGGACCTCCACGCCGGGGAGGGTTTCAGCGAGACCTTTGACGGACATTGCTTGTTGTAGATGAATAGACTGAAGATGTGCGAATGCGGTGGGCGATGCTGAGCGGTTTGGAGGCAAAAAAGAGTAGGTTTTATAGCGGTCTATGCGCAGAGTACAGTCAGCTCACGCTCCGCTGTAGAATGCCTACGGGCTTCACGGCTCCATCCATTCAGTGCGGCAAGAGCAAACAAGCTCATGCCCTGACCGAAGACCGAGCGTACTCGGGCATTCCTCTCGATTGTGAGCTGACAGTCCGACCTGCCGTTACGCTGACTAACCCGAAAGGCCAGTTATCTGCGGCTCCTTCTGACACCCAGGTACCGATATATTGGTGAGCTACTTACCACGAACAACCCGGAACGCTGCTCACTAAGCAATGTGCCGCTAGAAGCACTAGCAGTAAGATTTCATACGGGGTAGACGCTAGAAAGGCAACACGACGACGACGAATGGCGTCTTCAACGTGTCGGGTAGCTCCTTGGGCCTGCTATTGCCTGTAGTATGAATGACATATCAACACATACATACAGCAGGTTCGACGGACTTCTTTACTCCGAGTATCGTTCACGATGCAGAGATCTATGGGATGACCGATGTGAGGGAGAGTTACTACGAGCCTAAACCCGACTGCAACGCGGTTCGGAGAAGGATACGACACAAAGCATCTGAGCTTGCACATTTGGTGGGCGTATACTGTCAAGAGGGCGTCTCAGTGGCAGTCTAAGTTGTGTAGGAGTATTCACCACACATACCGCCTGAGGCGCATCGGCTTGGGATTTGCCACGTGCGAGAGTGCTATGGCCTGCTGCGCATCTTTAATTGTGGCTGAGCACTTGCGGTCGTATTCTGTCGGATTTGTGTTATCAGCGCCATTTAATATTGGTCGGCTCGGCCATAGAAGACAGGGAGAAGAACTCGGTGTCAAGTAGTACCGGCTCAGGTAGTTCATCAGTCAGCAATTGGCTATGGATCGCAAGATTTTGCATTGACCCGCTGAAGGCGCGGGCGCTTCTCTCTCTCTCTCCTCCGCAGTCCATGATTGTTGGCCAGCTTTGAGTACTGAGTAGCTACGGCAATGGAAGCCTTTCTCTCTCCGTCAACTAGAGAGCCTTATGCGGCGAAAACGTCGTCATGGTGTCGACACATTCAGGAGGGCACCTTCGCTATCAAGTTGAAGACGCGGTGACGACGATGAGGTCGAATCGACCCGAAGATGCACCTCTGACCTTCGAGATAGTCCACGGGTGGTGGCACGCACAGGAAGGGCCATACGGAGCTGCAACAGCCCTGCGGAAGCCAGGTTGAAGGAAGGAGTTGAGGAGGACAACGACGCTCGCGATCGAATGAGTATTCGCTGTATCGTCTGTGCTCCGTCATGCTGCCTGGCCTATGGTCGTTAGGCGATTCAGGCAGTCCGTCCGCATGATATCGAGCTTCAAAGGGCTTAATTGTTGACTGCAAGTTGTACGCCATACAAGACGATAGCCACCGTCCGAGTAGCGGCTCGGGCGGATCCTCTAAGTATGACGCGGGCAAAGTCGGTCGCACGGACGAGTTCAGCGTATTAATAAGCACTTATGGCACTAGCGCGTTCCATATATATGTATAAGGGGGTCTAGAGCAATATCAGTAATCGGACCAAGCCTATAGTAAACGGCCACATACCGAGTCTTTCTACTATTAGCGCCATCAATCTACCATTCACCACTTCAACGTCCACTCTCTGATAAGTCCCTCCAAAGCCCTTCAAAAATCCATGGTATGTCTCTTGAAGTGTTGTTCGAGCGTCAATGATGTCAAGTGCCAAGTAGACGTCAAGAGCAAAGGTACTGAGTAGTATCAAGGTAATATGCCTTCGTCGTCGTCTGAATGAGAAGGAGGCCCGGAGGCTTGACGCGATGTCCGCGGCGTCAACCTGTGTCAACGGATCTTGCCTTCCGCCACCATCATCTACTGTACTACACGGCAGATCGATTTTCGCTAGCTTCACACCTCACACACGAATAAAGAGAGTGTATCGCGCTACCAGTGCACCAATCATCTCCCCGATATATCGTATCACCAACAAGTGCTACCAGAACGAACGCAGACCCCTCTCGCGAACTCATCCAGCGCTCGGACTTGGTTGGGTTCAGCTAGCACAGCCTGTCGGTAACTTGGAGATACAGAGAATCTGACCGTGAAGCCCGCTCCTTGGGCCATGATATTGGGCGCAAAGAAGGCACACCGTGTGCTTCCGAACCTTTCGGCTGTGCGAGAGTACCGTTATCCTTACCCGACGCGACACATTACTGCCCTTTGTCATTGCGGCATGGCTCTTGTGTATCGCTCCGGGAGCCTCGACTGCTTATATTTGAGCTGAACAGCTTTGTGCGTTGCGTTTTCGTATCGTGGCCATGCATGCCAGGCGCCAAACTCATTGATATCCGTCGACCCCGAGGCGGAGATATGCTATAGAGCGCTCTGTACCGCATGGAAGTCGAGCGTGCCGATCCTTCGACATCGGCGCTCTTGTACTCCCTCAAGGAAGATGCAATGCGACAACCCATACGTATGCGCCTGGACATTCACTATATAAGACATCGGCCTTCTACTGTGTCACTCTCATCCTTCACGATGGGGGCGCTCTCTCTTCTCTCTTGTGCAGTGGCCTGTGTCGTTGCTACTGCTTCCGCATCTGAAGTTCATGAGCTCACGCGTCGCGAGTCCTTCACGTCCTCGAATGGCATGAAGATGGTGCCTATGCCAGCTTCAGGCTCTCCATCCGATGGCTCAATTACGGGCCTGATGAACGATCAGGACATTGAAGTATGTCCCCTGCTCAAAGGTTCATAATTCTCAGCTACCATCTGACACGAGCTTCCAGTATCTCGTGAACATTACTCTCGGAGGCTCCGGTGCGCGATCTTCCCATGTTACAGCGTTTGAGAAACTGAGCGGTGAACAGTGTTCACGCTGCAGATTGACACGGGCTCGTCTGATGTCGTCGTTTTCCCGGATAAGCCTATCAAGACCACATCGGTACTCAAGGATCTCCAGGTCAACGAGACCTACGGGATAGGGACCTACTCGGGACCTGTCGCATTCGCCAAACTTGAATTTGCTGGATACGCCGTGGAGTCCCAAGGTCGGTTTGGTTCCAGTATTGCGAGTGTGGAGCTCGACTGACCCACGTGCGCTAGTCTTCCTGAACACTACCACAGTGGGTGTGATACTGATTCAGCGGTAACACCAGGCTAAGTCTCGTTGCCAGCTCGACGACCCGTCTCTTATGTCCAACGGAGTCCTTGGATTCGACATTGGTATACCCCCGGGAAACACCAGCCCGCTAGGTCTTACTCTCGCTGAGAATTACGGGCCCGTGAAAGGAATTGAAATGGGCCGCAACGTGATCGGGAACATATTCGCTCAGAATCCGGATCTGGGCAACTTCACTGTCATGATATTCGGTCGTACTGATGATGGCGAGGGTGCTGGAGAGGGGTATTTGGGGATAGGCGAGTATCCCGAAGAGCTCAAAGACTCCTTTTCCAAGGTCAACTACGTGGACACAGTCCGGTCCAAGCCCTCGTCTTTCGTTGTATACGTGGATGGCATCTCACTCAATGGGAAGAGTCTTCCCTTGAACTCTACTGTGCGCCGTACCCCGCACGGCAAAGCCGTCGCGAACCTGGATACCGGGACAAGCAGTGCACAGATCCCACAGGATATGAGTGACGCGATATATAGGAGCATACCCGGCGCATACTACTCCGACGATCTTCAGCATTATGTTGTTCCGTGTGTCTCTTCGGGCGCCCCGAATATCTCGTTCAAGGTCGAGTGAGGATAATACAGTCATCTCCATCCGATAGCAACTGATATTGAACATCTCAGGAACCAGAATATCTATATACATCCTCTCGACCTCACCCAGATCGTCGATCTTAGACCGGCCGGCTTGAACTACACGATCTGCATCGAGACGTATTCTGGTACTAGCTCGGTGGAAGACACTGGCGAGGACTTTCTTCTCGGAGACGTCTTTCTGCGCAATGTGTACACGTCGTGAGTGCTATCCAAAAGTAACGCTCTCCTTATCTGATGCTCTGGAAAGCTTCTACTATGGCTCGTACAACACAACAGGTTCCATGATCAAATCCCCGGCGGTCAAGATGATACCAGTGAACCACGACGTCGACGCGACGTACTCCGATTTCTTGACCCGTCGTCGCCAGAAACTGGCATCGTTGCCACCGGAAGCCACGAGAGCGCAATTTGAGCAGTTTGTGGGAGTCTCATCAGGCAATTCCAGTGCCGGTGACGACGCATCCGCCGACGTCGAGACCATTGCTTCGGGCGTCAGCAGCAACTCCGACTCCACGGACGGGAGTCCGTACAAAGCGCTCCTCAACAAGCTCAACTCGTTCGCACCTATTGTCTTTGGACTCCTTGGCGCCATTGTTGTTGCCCTTCTTGGTCTACTGGGGGTAGGCCTCGCACTGTGTATCCGGCGCGGTCGCACCGTGGGTGCGGCGCGCTCTGCGAACACGTTCTACTCGCCGGTTCCAGCTCCAGAGCGCTTCAAGGAACCTGTGCCCGAGTACAGAGATGAGGAGAACGCTCGCTACGATCACTGAGTGGCTGGGATGCTCCGTCTATCTCGCTCTTGTAGTATTTATTCACACTCGGTCTATGATCATCATGGACCCCATCCCTTCATACTACCTAATTCCCTCACATGCCTTTGAACTTGGCCCCGGCACTTTACTTTGTCTCCGTGCACCCGCTCTTCGTATCGTGGAGTTCAAGCCTTTATATATTCTTTGTGATATACCCGCATGGGCTCTCCCTTGGGGAGCGTGGCTAGCGTCGATTCAACAGTGCATAACGGATCACGACGACAGCGCTTTGAACCATTCCTTGCCCCTCAAGGCGAAGTGAGATCCTATAATCTGATTGAGACTGCGCACATAGTGTCTAGGATCAGACACTCGCAAATGATCGCCATCGTCTACTGAGGCACTGGCGGACCGGCCTTCGATCTCCCCTCATCCACGCAGCGTTCAATCAAAGCGGAAAACTCCTTCATGCGTTGAAGCTGCACGGCATGACCAGTCTTATCCCACACTACCAGCTCTGACCCAGGCATGTGTTTAGCGAGGTAGTGGGAGTTGCTGGGTGCCACGAGGTGGTCGTCGTCGCCTGTCGCAATCACGACCTTCGCAACATTGCGCGCGATCTTCTCTAGACGAGCGGCAGAGACATGATGCGTGAGCCCAGCCCACATTTGCGATAGAGCACCAATGGGCTGTTGCACGCGGATCGCAGTCATGCGCCATGAGAGGTCCTATTCGACCTCGGTCAGTCATGGGAGGAAAGGCGTATAGATAAAGCGGGACTTGCAGCTTCCTGGACCTGCCTGTTCGTACGTCCACGGTCGTCTCCTTCTGCAGGAGCATCAAGCCACTCCTTCGAGAAGAGCATGCCGATCGCTATTGGCACCTTCTTGTCGCGGTCGGTGATAAATAGAAGCCTGCAAGCCCACTTCGGTTAGAGCCAAGGAGCAGGCGTGCGGTAAAGAATGGGGAAGTGACGCAGGGAGTGAATGAGAACGATAACTTACCGAGCGAGGGTTACGGCACCGACCCACTGTATCAAGATAGACATGAGCACAATGGACACATAAGATAACGACAGAGCGCACCGGTGGGAAGTTTGACCATATCGGGCCGCCAGGCGTTGTGACAGCCAGCATCAATGATGCAAGTCGCTCAGGTATCCTCGACGCAACCTCTAGATTCACATTCAGCCTTTTTTTATACACTCATGGCCGACGGGGGCTTTCATATAGTTGTTATCTCAGCGCTTACCTTGAGCGATCATCCCACCAAGCGAGATGCCCACCATATGCACTCCGCGTGTCTCCGTCCATCCCAGGTAGTCGAGTAAAGCAATGACGTCCAGCGCCATGGCGCTTGTAGTATAGGGTCCCCGGGGTGTGCCGCTGTTCCCCGCACCGCGATTATCGAACACGAGAACTTGATGCTTTCCCGTGCGCGACAGGTGCTCGACTTGCCGCATCCAGGACAGGAAGGAACCGTTCAACCTAGCTCAAAGCAGAGAAATATCAATGTGCAGTCCGATACGTGCAAACAGTGAAGGGGGAGTACGAAGGTAGAAGGAGTTGATACGTACCCCATGATGAGTACAACTCGCTCCGGACCACTCCCGTGTATCTCGTAGTAGAGCGAGTGCGACTCAAAGGGGTCGCCATCCTGTCCGCGAAGATGCGTGACAGGGCATAAGCCCTTGCTCGTACACGTAGTAGGATCGAGCAATGTCGGAAGCTCCTGCTCGTCTATCTCTTGGGTATGGTCTGATTTGGCGCCGGGTGGTGGGCCACGACGCTGAGTAGTGGTGTTGTCGGTCATAAGAGGAATACAGGTTGTTCTTTCAGATGAAGCAATAGTAGTGTAAACCCAGGATAAGGATGTGCGAGGACTGTATAGAGTTGTGGCAGATGACGGCGTTGGGCAAGGCGCGTGAGGTTGACCGGCAGGTCGGCAATGACGAAAACGTTCCGCAGAACTTGCGCGTGATATTCGCATGCGGCGGCGAAGTTGCCGATAAATATGTTATTACATATGCTCGGAAAGCGTACGCTACAGAGGAGAGATGTGCTCGGAAGAGACGAGAAAGCACGTGAACGAGAGGATGGGGACTGTAGACTGAGAAACCAATGGAAACATAAGGAGACTTGTGTAAGCGTGATGAAAGAAACGCAGAATGAAGTGATAGATCTAGAGATACATAGAGCAACGGAAGATGAAAGCAATGTCAAAGCGAAGGAATGCATCAGGATCAAGTAGAAGGATCGATACGCGCGGATAGGGGATCAGTGTCCAGCACCGTTCCACATGCCGTGCGTGTGTGAGGGTACGGTCATAGGAGGGTTGACGTATTGTTGCGACAAGGAAGAATGGCTCGGAACGCGTCGAGGAACGGGGTTCGGCTGATCGTACCAGCCATACGAGTCCGAGGGGACGACAGCAGGAGGGCCAGCGATGACAGCACCCGAACTCAGTCGTCGCCACTCGGGCGGTACGGCCGAGCTCCCAGCGCGCGCGTCGTATATGGGCGCGTACCCTGCCTGCAAGGACGGGATCCCTCTGTCCGCGGGGAAGCTCTGGCCATATGAAGTTCCAGTGCCGGAAGTCGCAACGTAGTCGTAGTTCTCGTAGACTCCGACGGACGCGTCCTGTGGTTGCAGGCCCGTCGCGTAGTATCCACTGCTGGAACCACTTTGATCAAACATCGCGCCTTGCCTCTGCCCATACCCAGGAGACGTTTGCGAGTAGCTTGAGCCAACGCCTGTTCGCTCATAGCTCGACGCCGGTCGCACTTGATCGGGGTAGTACTGTCCGGTGACACGACGCGCTATAGAGGGCAACTTGTCTATGTTTGCCAAAGACGATACAGCGTCCACCTGCTGATGCAGGGACGCAAGTGGCAAGGGCTCCCCCGAACCAAAGGAGGGCTCGAACGAACTATTTGATATCGCCCATATTGGGTCATCCGCGGCTACGTGCCCAAGCTCGTGGCTGCGAACGGGGAGCGCCCCAAACGTGTACGAGAGATCTGCAGAGCTTGCTGCTGGGCCGGTCATGTCGAGGCTCTGCAGGTCTTGTCGGTGGCCCGAGATGTCAAGGCCGGAGTGCGCGTCCGAGAAAGGAGATGACGAATAGCCGGTTCCCGTCGCAGCACTGGTTTGTCCACCGCTCGTAGCAGAGCCGGAAGGACTAGCATACTCGTCGGGAAGGGCGCCAGATTCGAATTCGGCCGCCACGGGCTCGCGAGGCCGCTTAAGCGTCGGAGCGGGGATTGGAAGCGAGTCGGGGAGTGCACCACCGGCGGCGACAAGAGAAGAGAGTACATCCCAAAGACGTCCCGCGGCCTGCCATCGGGCTTCGATGTCCTTGAGAAGCGCAACGCAGTTGTACACGGCCTGGGTCTCCTTTCCTTGGTCCATAGTGATACCCGTGCGCTCTATGTTCCAGATACCGAGTAGAAGCATCACACCCGCGGTAAAGGCGGGCACCTGCAGGTAGGGACAGAGATCCGCCGGTACACGCTCGCGGAAAGATGCAACCAGCCGAGAGCAAGACCGTGCGGCGTTGATGCAGACGGCGAGAGAACGGAATCCAAGAGGCGCCTCTTTGCGAGAAGAGATGAATGGTCGGTGAACGAGAATCTGAAGGTGGTAGAACTGAGCGTGGAGGTGCGCTGATTGCATGAGAAAGACCGTGTTCTGCTGCGTGGACTTCCACCGCACTAAGAAGTCTCGAAATCAGAGGCGGCGATATAGACAGAAATGAGAGAAGACACGAACAATGTTCGGGTAGTGAGTCTGCCCACTCGTTCATCCTCGCATCGAAGTCGGCCACCGTGCGTTGCTCCCAGTCGGGCCCGTACGCACCCGTGCGCGCCCGAGCTTTCCCACTGGCGTACTGGACGAGCAGGCGTTAACACACGCGTCTGATGAAAACCAGAGCTAGAAGCCTCACAATCGTGCTCAGCGCCGAGCCGAGTATTTGGCACTGTTTTGCCGAAGCAACGAAGTACGCGAGCTGAGAGGGCTTGCCAGGGGGCTGCTTGAACCTCTGCGCGGGATCAGGGTGATCCCACATCTCGTCGTCGCAATCCGCGGGCAAGTCCACGTCAAAGCTAAGATAGTGGCTTGTTACCGTTAAGCCATGCACATGAAGCAAAGTCGCTACTCACTCGTCATCCAACAACGCGCAAGTACGACCCTGAAGTGCACTCATCCACCTATCCATCCAGATAAGCACCCTTGAAATCGGTGTCAGTTAGTCGACGCCGATCACACTGGCGACAGGCACCAACCAAAAAGCACGTTTGAAAAGCTCGTCCTCCGCCGTCGGCGCGTCGCCATAAACCTTCTTTCTGTGGGCGCCGATATCCTGCGCCAACCGCAGCCCAATACCAGCGATATTCCACCCGCGCGACGTTATCGAACCGCCGTGAAGGTAAATGACGGTCAGCTGCAGGGGAAAGGTCGGCCATATGGTAAGCAAATGCCGTTCTGCCTGATTATATCAGAGAATGTACGCACGCAGAGTACCTGAAGGTCGTATAGCCGGGAAGATGACAGAAGCGCCTTTTGCGTCATGCGGACCTGGGAGAACCAAGCCCAACCAGCCGAATACCAATTCTTCCCCTCGTCTGTGAGAACACGACGATCATCGGATATCCTTGCACCGTTAGCGCAGACCGAGAGGACGACGGCGCCAAAAGCCTCTTCCCTCAGGTGAAGACCCTCACGGACCTGCTTTTCGAAGGAAGGGCGGTGAAGGATGGGAGTGATCACGTTCAGGTGGGTGAAGTAACAGTCAACGAGATGCCATAGTAGGTCGTCTTCGGGAAACTCAAACGGTGATGACTGTCGTTCTAGAAGCTCGCGTTCGAACTGTGAAGTGATTGAGCGTTGACATGCCACCGGACACGGCCGAGACAGGGACGTACGGGAAGAACAGCCCAAAACTCTGGCCGTCGTATCCTGACGAATGGGTGATCGGTTTTGGAGGGATCATTGCTCTTCAGGGCAAACGCGGCCTCGACCATCGTGGCCGTCGAAGACTTCCCTCTGAACGCGCCGACGTGGACACCCAGGGACATGTTCTTCATACTGTGGGTCAGGTCATACAGCTTGATGGCCGTGTCCTCGTCGTCGTCGGAAGGGTCGTATATCTCCCTATCGCCAGGGGTAATGTGTGCAAGGCCATCTGGATCACCGAGCACGCCCTCGTTCATCCAGTTATCCCGCGTTATGGGCACGCCTATCTCGCGCGCGAAGTCATCGTTGGGGTGCAACTACGATGATGTCAGCGAGATGGGGACGAGCGATAGTAGTTGTACATGCGCGCTTAAGGAGTTTGTCGACCTTCTCTAGTTTCTGTTCAAGCGCTTCAACATATCTGGGCGCTCAATGATCAGACACAGCCTTGTGGCGCATGGTGACGCGGATGGACGCACCCTTCCGGATATTTCTGGGAGATCTCGTTACTAGATAGAAGTGCCACTAATAGAGTACTACGCACCTTCATGGCTTGTACATAGGAACACTGGAGGTTGGCAGCGGCGCAGTTGGCACATTTGCGCCCAGGAATTTGTTCTCCATCACCTGAACGTCGCAGTCAAGAAGTCAAATAAGTCTACGCGCGCGAGACTTCAACAGACTGCGAGCACGCACAGCGAACCTTGCGCCGTCTACAGATATCGCAGGCTCGCGCAACACGTCGTTTCTTGTTGTCTCTCGACCGCCTAGGTCTATTGTCGGCGGAATCTTCGTCTGAGGACATGGTGGCAGGAAGCGAGGTCGTAAGCGGCGCGGCGTGTGGTCTCGAAAGCGTCAAGTATATCACCGTCCGGGTAGCGCCAAGTAGCCGTCGCGCATTTCACATTTCGGGTTCAGCAGTTGCATCAGGCACCCACGATTGGGTGCATGACACCTTGTTCGTTGATGGAATTCCGCTCATCAAGCACATCGTCTTCTTCCTTCCCAGTGCATGCAACATACACTTTCGAGGCTAGCGGATCTGACATAGCAGTTTCTGGCCATCCAAACCTCTACAGAACATCTTTCTTCGATCACGTTCAATCATCATCCGATGCAACGATGTACTACCCTGTACTACCACGGCGACGATCAGCCTGGCCCACCGCCTCCCACTCCGCATGCACGTCAATATAGCGGCCCCTTTACAACAGAACATCGGAGGAAGCTGCCTGGTCCAAGAATCCCACCCTGATGATCACTTGCAGAAGCGTGGCGCTTGTGGTCGGTGGGGATGCGAGTGACAACCAACTACACATGGTGCATGTCGAGAGCCGCGATGGGACGGCGATGATGCTCGGTACCGAGCTCGATGACTTGTCGTAAGTAGGTACCCCAATGGGCGATTGTGATTCCAGAGCATACCCGATAGCCGACAAATATGCACAATGCCACCCGGCTCTGATCTCGGCGGCCCTCAGACGGACGTCTGGGAAGGCAGGAGAAGGCTTGATGAACATCATGCCCTATGGTGCTTCTTCGCTGCACTCTAACAGAAGAGATGTAGGCAAAGCCGACGGCAAGTTAACTTTGTGGCTGTCGATATCACGATAGATTCTTCAGCAGCGGATACTGGAGGCTTCTCTGAATACTGACCCACCTCTCCCGCGGAGCGCGGAGGACGAGCGCGGTGTTGTACACAAACGGAGAAGCCGCTCGCACGCCGAAAGGCTGGTCATCGTACGTTTGAGGGCCGGGCATTATGCACAAAGACCCCAAACCCAAAAGACTGACGAGACAGCCCTGGAGGAATACACGCTGACGCGCTCCGGTGGACTGCGCGGGCTTCCGTTCCAACGGAGCCTCCCGACTGAAAGCTCTTGGTACCCACAAAAAGTGATATCGTAGAGATCCGCACGTATTGCAAATGGTAAACACCGCCTATGGATATGGACCCTGAAAGCTAGAAACTGCATGCACTGTTAGTGGCTCAAGCAAGACGTTGGTGTGAGTGTCCTCGGACAGTTTACCATGTGTCGATGAGAAGACTGTTGACGTTAGTGTAGTCGACTCGCGGAGAGAATATTCTATCACCGTCATGAGATATCGTACGTCTCATTTGGTAGAGTCGGAGATGCCACCAAACTTATAGGTGGATATGAAATGCCCGACCGACCCCGGATTACGATGATCCTCATACAAAGCAGCCCGAGAGGTTTGCGCCGTGCGCTGGCAGATGTCACCTCGTCAAAGGAAAAGACGAGCGATAGGAACCTGTCATGCCGCGTCGCAGATAGCGTTCCGCTTCACACATACAACGACACACAACTCAATCCCGAAGGAAGAGAGGGCGGGACACGGTGCGCCACCAAGAACAGTTAGAGCCCACAGACGATGTTGTGGCGCAGGAAACTCGTCGACATTCAGTCAGCAATCTCGCGGATCCGCAGGCTCTCGATCACGATCGCGTCGGCGGATGAGCGCAGCTGGGAAGCTCGAGGAACACCAGATGATCATAATTACTGCCCAGCTTCGATTTCAAGAGCCGCTTCGGCGAACGCCGCGGATCGCCCAGACAGATGGCTCACTGTAAATATGGTACTTTTTGTCTTCTATATTGTAGTTGACGCGACAATGGACAAGTGTAAGGGTGTTCTGTAACATGCTGTCGAGCGCTGAGTACGAGATGCGAACGAAAGAACATCATGTACGAGACCCACTAGTAAAAGATTGACTGTCACCATCCGTGTCCGCCATGCTCATGGGCCGCCTTCGACGTGCGGCTCTCCCGTCGCCAGTGCGCCCCTTCATCAAGTTTCTCCGGCTCCGGGCCATCCGGCTCCTCAATGACCGGTGTCCCCTCGAGCTCACTCAGATCGCTGGCGCTTCCGAGCCATGCCCCACCCGGCACCTCTGCGTTCAATCTCGTCGCATCAATCGCGGTGTCCACGAGGCCGTGCCATCTTTGCTTCCTTGCTTCCGCGACCTGAAGATCGCGGATGCGGTCAAGCAATATCGACGGCGGCTGCAAAGGCTTCCAGCCCAAGGCCGCCTCGGACTGCTCTTGAACGTCAAGACGGTCTACAACCATGCGTGCCTCCTCGTATGCTTTCGCGTAGAACGCGACGCCCAGGACCTCCGCCACCCCGCCCTGCCGCGCCTCCCTAAGCTTCCTCTGCGCGATCTGAGTGTCCGCTCCGTCCAACTGTGCCCGACACAAATCGAACATGGCATCGATATGCGACGTAAAGCCGTCCATCACTCCGTCGCATAGGTACGCACCGGCCGCAGCGGCATGCACGCGTATACTAGGCTCGATCCCCCGCTCACTCATATCGCGCAGTACACGCTGAGCGAACTCGTGTGTGCGGACGTGCGGCGGGAGACGTGAGCCCATAGGCCGGATAAAATGCTGGAATGCTTCGGGCGAGATTGTGTCTCGCATGCGTACGTGGTCGGCCGCCGAGAGCAGGCGAGCGTAAAGCTCTTCGAAGCTCTTCGCATCGCGAGTCATATGTACGAGAGCGCCCCACGCTAAGGCTTGGACTTGTCGGTCTGGCTCGAACTTGTCGGGCAAGACAATGAGTTGATTGACGCGGTGATTCGCCAAGGTATCTTGTAGCCGGGTATGAATGATGTCCATTGGAACGCATCCTGGATGGAAGTAGCGTCTGAACGCGGCCAAGGCGTCCGAAGGCTTCCGTCGCCGTATGTTGAACAGGATATGGGCGTGCAATACGTCCGGGAGGACCCCAAGGGAGTGACCGCGCGAGTGGAGCGCCTGCAAGATCAAGCGACGTTGCGGCTTTCGCGCGTGGTAGGCTAGGTAGAAGAGCGGCAACAGGGCACGCGCCACGGTGACACCGCTCCCCGGCGCTAGAGAACGTACGCGCAGATGATGCGTCGCGATATCGAGGTTCTCTTCAATGCTCCGCCAATCGTATATCGAGGGGATCTGCTCGACGCTTGTGTCACCCAGGATTTCGCCGACCTTTGCGGGCGCAAGATTCGGCTCGTCCGAAAGGGAGATGACTTCTTTGACGGCTTGGGCGTCATCCCGCACAACACCGAGCACATATCGATATGTGAAGTGATCCAGCTGGATATTACGCTCAGCCGCAGCGCGAAGAAGCGCGATAGCATCTGAGACATGATGGTCGTTGCATTGTTTGCGGATGGCGTTGCCCCATAGACGAGCGCTGTACGTCTTGACGTAGTCCATCTGCTCGTCGTCCTTGTTCCACAATGCATGCTCGATAGCCTGAGCTGATAGCTGGTCAAGAAAACGTGCCATTTGTTCGGCGTTGTAGAGATGCGCTAGTCTCGTAGTGACAAGGCGAGCTACAAATGCAAAGTAGCCCTTGCGAGTAGCGGCGATGAGTACGTGCTCCAACAGCTCAGGCGGCGACTCTGAGCAGCGAACGACGTATTCAAAGAGCTGTCGTATGGGGACAAGACTAAAGTTGGACCAGTCTCCGTCTCGCTCAGCGGGATCGCGACGCCAGAACTCGCGTAATGAGCGACTCGCCGCTGGAACGTGCTTCCACCAAAGGTCGAATACGAAGAACGGGTCTCTGTCGCTCGCCGGCAGATTGCCGTTCCATTTAAGAGCCAAGGCGCGTTTGAGTCCGTTGCGTGCTCCCAGTGCATATCTGCGGCGAGATGTGATGGGTATCTGCATTTCCCGCAACTCTGCGAGCACGGCGCGGGCTTCCTCATATTTAGCGGGCCCTCCGCGCAAAAGAACGTCTAGCGCTCTTGTCGACGTCCATTCCTGCCGAGTCGAACTAACAGCTGTTGCTCCAGACAGCAGACCGTCCCCATAGTCTTCAGAAACGTCCTCAAATATCGAGTGGTCGGGTTCGGTCCGAGGGTACCGAAGAGCTTTGAACTCTTGTTCGGCGCGAGTCTCGCCAGACGCGAAGGTAGTATGAAACGTCTTAGCACGAGATACAAGCAAAGAGCGCGAGAGAGGTAATAAAGCAGATATCGAAAATAGTCTAGGCGATAGTGATTGGGTCAAGGGTGACAGCGCGGCCATCGACCGCGCATCCTCGTCGTCGTTTCGGGCAACGAGCGAAACGTCGCGTCGACGCGTCCAAAGTTCTCGCACGCGTCGCGGCGCGCTCCGGCGTTACGCGGCGGCGCTTGCTTTCCTTCCACCACCATGCACGATGCGTCCGCCTCTTTCTGCACCTCTGGAAAGGGGATAAACGTGTGATTTACGACCCTGCACACTACCGAGTGACGACGCGAATCTTTACTGCACAATCAGAACTCAGGAGCCTGAACTGACGTGCCATTCTGGCTTCGATCTGCATCACTTGCGCCGGCCTATGAGATCTTGAGAGCCTGGTTACAGTATGGCTATGCTAGAGCCACAGTGGAAGAGATCTTTGATCTTTCTATGCCAGTCGTCATCCCTCGACGGGTGACTGTCTGCTTATCTCGGCGCTAGATCATGGGTGCTTGTGGTGGTGTCACTGATGCCCGTGGGTGATGCGAAGGTCCAGATGGTGGACCACCTCGCCGACGCTTCGCGAATACATACTTCTCGCTTTAACCACCACGCCTAACTCCATATGTGAAATTATACTCATGAGGGTGCCGCTTCTCAGTCGCTAATCTGCGTGACTGCGTGCACACCCTTTTGCGACCTGCTCAGGTGAGGAGACATCATACTTCTGCGGCGGCCACAAGACTTTTAGGGCCGACACTTGAAGTCTGAAGTCCGATGTCCAACAAGACATGCTTTCAGATTTCTGACTCGGAATCGAGAATATGCAGTACGTATCACTCTTCCTTCGGCGCGTGAGATTCTGCACACGCGGACTACAGCGGTCATATTGTAACATTGACTAATCGTACAGCACCTATGCGATGGTCGTGCACACACTAAGCACAGTGGCGCAAGCTCCTTCCGCCATCTCTATTGCGAACTTAATCGTTCCTGTATGATCTTCGCCACCAAGGCGCCGTCTATAGGAATCCCAGTGCCATGAGAGCCGGGAGGGTACGCTACACGCGGTATGTCTGGGTAAGCGAATGTGCTGTATGGTCCATCTCATCAGTATTCCAGGATACGAAACGCAAGTCAAGGGCGCCCTTACCTATTCTCCCAAAAGCCGATATACGACAAGCCGAGTGCGCGTGCCGTGTATGCGTACTCGAACGAGAAGCCCTGAGGATAGAAGAATTCGAGTACGGTTGACTGTGGCATTCGACCCATCCATATCAAAGGCACTAGCCCGGGTCCATGCACGCCCAATGCGACCTATATCATCCTGTTCAGTACGAAACGAGATGAAACGCGGGGATCAAGACTCACCGTCGACCTTCCCAGCAAACGGACTTCTTCGGCAGGCGTCATGTCCTCCGATCTCACTACGTTGACCTCATAGCCCTGCGCTTCTCCGAGTGTGTTCAGCTCTTGTACGAGCTTCTCGTGGTCTTCACGGCGGAGCGATCTGAGACGTAAACCCTGGCGGGATATGTATGTAATGACGGGCTTCGACGTGCGTTTCAGTGCTGCATCATCCAACCCAGACGTGCGTACGACGTTCTCCCTGAGAGGTTTCCACCAGAACGGGCTCCCTGGAAGATCCATCGCACTACTGGCCGTCCTATAGTTGCTCATGAAAGCGTTCCCTAGTCCTGCTGCAGACCTGTCCGCAATGAGCACTCGGTCGAACATGAATGCCACGTTTGGAGCAAACGTCGCTCGATCTGCCCAGTCCGACTTGTACTCGAGGAGCACAGACGTGGTGGCGGAGCGTAGGACATAGGGGTTCTTCATCCCGGGGTCGCGCCAGCCGGGGAATTCGAAGTTCGGAAAGATCAGACGCCGCGGAGGTGGGAGGCGGGTTATGCCGTTTGTAGGGATGAACGGGTCGAGAGCGGCGTAGGCGCGCCAGAAGCCGAGGAGCAGCTCGGCGGCGAAGTGTAGATGGCTTCTGAGGCTGTTTCGCGCTTAGCGCATGCAAACAATGTATCTAGATGACGAGGAAGAACGTACAATTGATCTGGATCGTTCGCTAGCCACTACATTAAATCAGACCTCAATGAATAGACTTTCTCAGGGATCAAGTTTAGACACTCACTGTAACTCCTTCAATACGGTTTGCACCCGCGCCAAAGATGCTCTTCGCCTCAGCACGCGTGATGATACGCAGCTCCTTCTCGGTTGGCAGCAACGCCGCGGCGTTCTCTTCCCCATTCGTGATATGTAAACCCGTTGACATGATGAACTTGGTATCGGGAAGGTGTTCTGGTTGATCGGTAATGATGTAGAGTGTACCATTGAGCAAGTACAATTGGTCAAAGAGCGTCCAGCCAGGTGCATGTAACATCAACTTCGTCCCCGGTACAGCCCGATGTCCCCATGATAGCCGCGAGTGATAGCGTTGGTTTCGAGACAGTTGATGGCTAGAAATCTCTATGCGTGTAGCAGCGGAGAAGGAATAGAAGAGCACTAGGGCAGAGAGTAGGACCACCCACACGCGGTGGGTAGGAGGCGCTTTGGGGTCTTCAAACGCGGCCATGAACGCCGTTCACAAGTACGACGCTGACCCACATATGGTCATGAGCGCCAGAGGCGATGTGATCAGGCCGACCGTATTGTGATGAGGTCCTATAGAAGACAACAGCATGTTTATCCGCAATCAGACTCTCATACACCCGGGGCGCGCTGGTGATGGGAAATAACTGCTATAGGGCCGCGAGCGGCAAGACCCGCTACGGCAGGCAAGCGGTTGCGAGCGACACACCGCACGCGGTCCCACGACTAAGTAGTGGTTGTACGCGTTTCGATTGAGAATGGTGCTTGTAACCTGGCCCGGGGACAGTGGGAAATCGAGAGCATCCGTTAGGCATGTATCGTAATATACCCATTGAGCAATACTTGTACGTATGGCACCGAACCAGCACGCAGGGTGTCGTATGCGACGCGAAAGGGAGAAACACCACGCGGAGGCTCGTTGCGGACATGCGCAGGCATATTGTGCAC